AAAAAAAAAAAAAAAAAAAAAAAAAAAAATCAAATAAGTTCAGTGAATTCCCAAGGTAAAATAAATAGTTTATATTTCCTACTCTAGTATTAGGAGGAATAAATAATGATCTGTATAGGAGTAGGCCAAAAACAACTAGCCTATCCCTTTCTCCAAATTTGTATTTGATTATGCTGAGGATAACTTGACAACCACATCAATTAATCCTAAGGCTGCATCATATTGGGAAAACATTTTTATAATAATTAAGACAGAGAATCATGTGGACTTGAATGCTAATTTTGCCATACATCAGCTGTTTGGTCATGGGCAAGTTACCTGACCTCTTTGAACTTGAGTTTCTTCATGAAAAATGAAAATAACAATAGATAGTTTGCAGGATTAGTTGGAGGATTAGCAGTAGTGTATGTAAAGCACCTGGCTTAGATGTTCACCTGCCTGATATTAAAGTTAGGCAGATAATTTTGCTGAAACTATGTCAGAATGACCACCATTTGTGTAGTTTCACTTCACTCTAAATGGTCTAACTGAAGATTTCCCTAATCTTCATTCTGCATATTCAACACAAGTTTGATCAAGAAAGCCCAAGGGCTCCATCTTTGTACACATGGAGTGTTGATTTGTCTTCCTGTGTACCCTGGTGAGGCAGAATATTTTTTTCACCTGGCTATGCTCCAACCTTGGAAAAAGTTGGGGTTATGTCACAGATGGACAGGTGCCTTGAAACCTAGTCAGCTGACCAAATCTTGACACCAGAAGATCCAGTTACATATTTAGCTCAGCTGAAGGAATCTGCATTATGACATCCTTCCCTGTCTACCTCTCTTTTCTATTTTTCTGAGCAGAAATATACTGGAGAAATCCAATAAAAGTTGACAATTACAAGACTCACTTTGTCATACCAACCCTCTGTGTGAGGTAAATATTAATGCTTCCCCTGTTTTGAGTTCTTGGTTGTATAATTTCAATTATATGGGCCAGTTACTGATCTCTTACTTCTAAGTGCTATTTCCTTGAGGTAAGGAATGAAACCAAGTTTTGAGATTAGGATAGCATCCAATAAAAAGAAATCCTAAAAAAAGCAAACTGGAAGCTTCTTGGAGTCACCCCCAACTAGACTGTTAGGAAAACAAACAGCAGAGCAAGTGTTGTTAATCCTACTCCTGCTTTGTGCCTTTGGCCCTTTAGGGGATAAAGAAGTGAACCTAATGAGGCCAAAATTCTGTTTTCAACCCTACAAGTGATGCATTTAATTTGTCAGGATGTAAATCAGCAGGACTTCTCAGCATGATTGTGTAGTATAATCCTGTCCATAAAATATTCCTCTGTGTTCTGCCAAAGAAGTGGTGCCAAAGAAGCGGTGGACCCTCTGAAGGGCCAGTTCACTGACTTGGCAGCTGAGGCCCCATCATACTCAAAACTGGTAAGTCACACACCCAGACACAACCCCTAACATTCCCGGGGGAGGAAGCAAAGCATAATTTAGATAATCCCCTTTGCAAAATGTATTAGCTGATCCAAACCAGACCTGGCCGACAAATGGCATGTTGTTCTTACATTTCATAGATGCCTCAATGTAGAAATAGCTTCTTGTTGCATTTGGAGGATTAAGATTCATTTAAGGAGTAGGTATGGATGATCAATAAACTATTTTAAAATACATAAACAGCTTCATGCTTGACCTTCACCTTCTATCCACTTAAATGGTATGGGGGGGCACGTTTCTTTGTTGATCTAGAAAGGGCTTGGCAGAGTTCCTCCAATTCCATTTTACATATGAAAATAAACAATAATAATAAACATAATAGGGAAAGTATGCTGTGTATCACAAATGGGTACTTCTGTCTTGTGTAAAGAAAAACACTTTTCCTCTAAATGGTTCGTGGAAGAATATGCCTGGTTTAAGAAGAGATGTCCCACCAACACTCCATTATACACATGGACCCGTCAATAGGAAGACACAGATAACTACAGAGATATGGAAATGCCAGGAGATTCAGCACTTTGATAGAAAAATACCCCAAGGAACCACATGTGAGGTAATGTCATACTTGAGGGTCAAAAACTAAGGGGTGCAGAGTAGGAGTAAAAGATGCATCTAAGTTTTTTTCAGCATGAGCGCAGAAATGAATTTCAAGTTAAAACCTAAATCCCTGAATTCACTGTGAAATACCTATACTGCTAGGAAACGAAATTGTTATAATCTTGAAAAAAGTTATCATTATCAATAAATGGTGTGACTTGTATATATAAGAAAACCTGAATTTTCCTTAGAAATTAGAATTCAGTGAGGGAAAAACTCATCAGCAGAAGGCATGTATGTGCTTGGGATCAGGAGTCAGATTCCTCTGAGAGGTCTTGGCACATGGAGAAACCCTGCACACTTGAGCCGCAGTGCAGCTCTTCTGAGAGCTCAAACTTTGACTCAGCTTTACTGATGGAACAGAGAGAACATTTTTTAAGCAGTTGCTGTTGGAAAAAAATTATTCCATGGTGAGAATTCCATAGACGGAAATGATACCAGGTGCCATATCAAGCAAGAATCATAATGGAAAGACAAAAGAATCCAACATGATCTGGAATGAGGGTAGGTAGGGGTACACTTAGAAGAGGAGGAAAGGACGAAGCAAGAGGAGGAGGGAGACTGGGGGAGGGAGGAGAAGAAGAAAGCAAAGAGAGAAAGAATGAACATGAGCAGCAAGGAGGGAACGAGACAGAGATAAGAAGAGACGGAGAGAGCAGAGCACAAGTGACACTTCAGAAAAGCATTTGTTTTTGTAGGTAAGGGTGAGCACTTTCAGGCCTCCCAGCTAAAGTGTCAGACATACACCAAAAAATAATACACATATCAGCAGCAGGAGAATTGAAGAGTGTAAATTCATGCTGACTTTTTTAATAGAGAAATCATATGTGGCCACACACTTAGTGAGAGATGAATCAAAACGACCCTAGGTTACACCTATAACATGAAATATCATGTAGTTATTAAGAATTATACTAGAGGGATCTTTACGGATTAAAAAAGGTATCTATCTCCACAGAAAGCAGGCTGCAAAAAACAGTATGTATAGCATGACACAACTTTTTGAGAAAACATATTTATATTTTTCATACAGCAACATATGAAGCTCTCTCAATGTGATGGGATTATGGTTTTTAATTTTCTTGTATACCTTCTCACTTTTCTACAATAAATGTGTGTTATTTATAGAATTATAAAAACCACCTAAGAATACGTTAAAATTGTCATTATTTTACTTCTTCATTCCTAGACAAAGTTTTCACAATAGCATCTTGAAACGTGATTATAAATGGGGTTTGCTTTTAGCGACAAAGTTAAAGCATGGTAGGACCCCTAAATCAAGGAATAGTTGCCGTAAAGTATACCTGTTACATGTATGTGTCTGGTTACTGTGAAAATGCAGTGGGATAAATGGTACTTTTAAACAGGATTTTCAATTCCAGAACATTTCATCATGCAACCAGTTCAGAGTCAAGTCCTGTCAAGTTTATTTATAGTTATTTAGTTATACAGTTTACCCCATGACATAGTACAAAGATAAACAAATGTAGGACTTAGAAATACAAGTCACAGAACATGGATTGACCCCTTTGAGACTCTAAACCAAAAGTCAGGTTTATCTTCTTCATGTAAAAATTTAATTATCATCATTGTCATTAAGGCCTACACTTAGCATGAAGTTGGGAAATCCTTCTAGGTTGAAGACAGTACTGAGAGATCATGCGCTACAGTGGAAAGAGAAAGACTAGGAATAAAGAAACCTGGATTACATTCCCAGTTGTGCCACCAGCAAGCGGTGTGACCTTGGATAGATCACTCACTTCCACTGAGTCCGTTCCCTCATCTGTACAGTAAAAGGAGAACGAGCAGTTCATCTTAGGTGCCTTTCTGGTTTGGAATATGGTGGAAACGCTGATTCCACCGAGACAGTGGTATTTAATAGTTTGTAGCAACACAAAGATCTTCAAATCAATATAATGCATAAGAACTGAAACTTCTTCAAGCTGTCCGAATATCCAGAAGAAAATGTAATTAATATACAATATATTTGTTCTACAGAGGTCAGTGCTTTGATTGAATTGCCCATCCTGAATGCCAGTGACTTCAAAATCATGCAGTCTATATATCATCCTGGCTATCAGGATCTGTAAGTCCCTTTCACTTACCTGAGATGATTCATAGTTTATAAAACACGTCTATAAAGCTAACCAAAGAAATTTATTATGTTCAGAGTTAATGGCTTTAAATGGGAGGGGGAAACAACATTTGAATCAGCTTTATAGGGAAATAATTTTCTGAAAAGAAAATCTGCTTCTCTCCTGTGGAAGATCTCTGAATTCAAACCTTGTAGCTCTGTACAAGGTTTAGGGCTGGTAGAGTGACAATTCAAGTTACAGAGTTTCAGAAGCTCTATCTTTTCCCTACTTTTTGGTTCTGCTGAAAATTGTCAATATTTTGTGTCACCAAATTTAGTCATAGAATCAATTAGTTTTTGTGGATATGGTAAGATTTGAACAACTGAACATTAGATAAATTAGTGTTAAAAGTTATAAAAAGAAATATTTCAAGAGTGTAAGTAACAGTATTAATCTTATTGTTGACATACTTGGCTGTAGTCACCTTAAGCTCTCATTCCTTTTTATATTAAAAATTAATTTGGCTCCGTATTTTTCTTTTTGCAAATTACATCTTTTTTTAAGAGTTGGCAGAGTGGTGGAGGATATAAATAAGTACAAATGTACATATTTTTGGAATACAACAATCTTCACCTGTTTTTCTCATGAATCTTTAGGATTTCATTTGTCTGTTGAAGAAGCTGTTTCTCTAGCTTGTATGTTGATAATGAATTCTCCAGCAGCTGTATTTCAAGTCGAGAAGTTTGATTTAGTACCTTAAGATAAAAGATAAAAACATTTCAATCTTTACAAAGAGTCAAAACAATTATTTTGGGGTTTTTATTTAGCTGTGTTTTCTTTTTAAATAATATTTCTTCTAGAATAATTAAATGGTCTACATTCTACTAATTAATGCCTTACATGTCTCAAACATTATATTTGTTCAAGATGGAAGTTGCAGTTGAAGGAGAAAACTGAGTTGTTAAATCCATTTTCATATTTCAATTTTCATTTCCTCAAACCCTAGGATGTTCCCCTGTGCTAACTGTCTTACATATATTATCTCTGATATTTACAAGATAAATGTTAGTACAAGATCTTAAATATTGTGTGTAACAAAGAATAACTACTAGGCATGTAAAACATGTCTGCCTTGATCCATCACCTCGCAAAAACTAATTAGAAATGTGCAAAAAACTCGTGATATAGTTTAGACAGATTCATGATCACAATTACTGAACACCTATCATGTTAGTTCATGTCAGCCCTTCCAGATGTCATCATATCACGGACATGGGTACACACTGAAAAGAGGAATTGCTATGGTCAGTTTACAAATGAGGCAACTGAAGTTCAGAGAGAAGCCAGAAACCACACAGGAACCAAGGGAAGAGTTGGGTTTCAAACCCAGATACTGTGACTCTAATTCTAATGCTTTACACCGAAAACCAAGAAGAGGGAGAAATAACCCATCCTGGGTCTTCATCTGAGGAGATGAAGTGACCAGGAACCCAGAGTGCACTGAAGACAGACTGTTAGTTATCCTTTCAACTGCACTACGCTGGGTCCTCAAGAAACAGTAAATGTTCACCTCATCTTGAATCACAAAGACTCATGCTGCTAGTCAAGCTTTATTTGTTTGTTTATTTGCAGTACGCGGGCCTCTCACTGCTGTGGCCTCTCCCGTTGCGGAGCACAGGCTCCGGACGCGCAGGCTCAGCGGCCATGGGCTCACGGGCCCAGCCGCTCCGCGGCATGTGGGATCCTCCCAGACCGGAGCACGAACCCACGTCCCCTGCATTGGCAGGCGGACCCTCAATCACTGCGCCACCAGGGAAGCCCTAGTCAAGCTTTAATATAACATGAGTCTGAGCCATGAACCCAAACCTATCCATCCTCCAAGCAAACATCACACACATTCCAGTCCTAGAAGATGCCTTCAAACTGTGCCACTGCCTTTGCCCTGCCCCCTTCTCCTTCTTCTTTAAGGGAGGTAAAAAGGGCAAGGAAGAAGGTAAAATTATAGTTTTAAAAGCTCCCTATGTCATTTGAGACTTTTTAAAACCACCATGCCTTTTTTAGAACTATGTACTGAAAGGAACCTGGGAAACCTTCTGGAGGGTCAGTATCAATCTAAAGGGTCCTCCTCTAAAAATGACACCAGTAGAACTTTCCTCCTTCTTTGTAGCAGGTCTAAACCTGGGATTATATCAGATGCACACAGAAAAAGCCTTTTCAAAATATACTGACACAATCAGGGCTGGGCTTGGGCTAATGGAGATTGTGGGGAAAGGGGATGTATTTGCAGGGGGAGCAGGACAGGGACTAGGGTGAGATGAGAGAGGCAACTGCCTGGGTTGTAAAATTTAAGGATGTGTCAAAAAACTCAATAATCAAGATAAGTAATATTTGAATGCAACATTTTGAAAGATCAAAATTAATGTAAAAAAAATCCAAGTTGAACAGAATATCATTTTAAAATAAAGACAGGATATGCTACTACAAATATATGATTCAGTCTTGCATAACTTGCTTCATTCTTTTTCACCCTTGCTGAAGGGGTTGGGCCAGGGGGTTAGGGAAAAGAATACTGAGATGGGGCATTTAGCTTTAAAAAAGTTTTAAGCTACTATGATTCATTTATACAACTGTCATGAATATGGATCTGAAAACCAGTCTAAAAGTTACTACTACTAATTAAAACTCATATTTGTGGAGTGTTCTAGAGTTTTAAAAAAGTATTTCCCATCCTGAATTGTTTCATTTGAGGAAACACAGGAGCAAGAGGACCTGAGATTTGAAGATAGAGTTAAAAGCAGCCCAGAGGAAAAAATGGCAGAGAATGTAAAGATGAGGGATGCACAAGATATAACTTTCAACTATTAAACATATTTTTGTCTGGGCAAGTTTTCTGTTTGTTTGTTCATTAACCAGAATGACAATTTATAAAATAATAAAATAGGGGATGACACATCTACATTTTTTTAGTGAGATTTAGAACAGTGCTTGGCACAGAGAAGACCCTCAATGTGCCGTACATTGTCTCACTGAATCAAGCATATCATATGCTGTTAAATGAAATGTTTTCTCCTTTATTCACTGTATTCTCTGATCATACTTCCTGATATTCTCAAATACCAAAACTTTTATTTTACAAAGGACAAAAAGTGTTCTTTTCCATGTCTGAGAAGAACATGAGAGAACCCTGAGAACAAAATGGAACCATCCAAAATTGAAAATGAAGTTGCCTATATCTAAGTCTGGAGACACTACAGCTCCTAACTTTTCTCTACTTTGTCCTACAGAGTCCATTTGCTACACAGCAACCAGAGTGATCTTTTTAAAAACACAAATCAGATGTCATTTCCTATATTAAATATGCTAGTGACTTCCCTTTACAATTAGAACAAATTCCAAAGTTCTTGGCCTAGCCCTACAAGGTCCTATGTGATCAGGACCCTGATTACTTCTCAGATCTCACTTCCTTTCAACTCTCCCCCTTGTTTATTATGCTCCAATAATATTGGCCTTCTTTCTGCTACCCCAACATGCCAAATTCATCTCCATCTCAGGGTCTTTGCAGTTTCCCCTGCCTGGAATGTCCACCCCTTCCCAGATGCATGGCTGATTTCTTTTCATCATTCATGTCTTACCTAAGGAGGCCCTTCCTGGCTATTCTCTGTAGAGGAGCTCCCCCATCATCCTCCATCAGGTGGCCTTGTTTTACTTTCTTTATGAAATCATCACTATTGGAAATCATCCTGTCAGTATGCTCATATGCTGCCTTTCTGCCCCGTGAGGATGTCAGCTGCACAGTCCTGCACAGAGGCAGGACTACTCCATCTGGAGCCCTCCAAACCGCCAGAGCCCAGCATGGGGCCTGGAATCCTGGGGCACTCAGAGCTATTTGTTAGATGATACGCTAGGCAGTGGATAGTGAGTCGGTTTTCAAGTTGCGTCATGCTCAGAGGGTAACAAGAGAGGGTAGCAGGCCAGGTGAATATCAAGCTGGACTTCAATTATAACAGCCCAAATCTAAAGCAGGATCTGAATGTGGGAGAAAGAGGGGGACAAATCTCAGAAGTCCAGGCTAAGTGTCAGGTCATCTCAGGCTGATTTTGAGCACAAAAGCCAACCCCTCCTCTTCTTTCCCCATCGCCTTAACCCAATAGCTGCTTTATTTCAGCTCTCTCCCTTGATGTATTAAAATAGGCCTGAAGTTCAAAAGCAGGCAACTGATGAGAACTGTACAGGAAACTATGGAAATTGCTGCTTAGCAATAATCTAAGTGTTCCATTAAAATGACAAAAGACATTTCCTTCTTTAGCCTAAACACATTCCAAAAGCATATACCAGAAAGAAAGAAAAGAAAGAAAGAGATAGAGAGAGAAGGAGAAAAAGGGAAAGGAAAGGAGAAGGAAAGCAAAGCAAAGGGGAAAGTGAAGAGTATATGACACAAGCCCCCAAGAAACAATTTCAAAGCTTAAATTTTTCAGAATATACCACAGAGTAAGGAAGATATAAGACTTGGAACCGTGGATTTATGGACTATAAAATTTCAGTTCTTTCTTTAAAAAATAAGCAAAATTTTAAAAATAAAAATTACTATTTTTTTTAAAGAAAGTGAGCTAGATAATTTCATCCAGCTTCCCTTTAATACTTGAGGGCATCTAATCTTCCTTGAAAGGAAAATCTCCCACAAAAGAAAATTTCTTTCACTGGCATATTAACTTTCCAATCAGCCTTGCTGTAGGTTTGTGTTTTCTTTTACTTTAACTGTCTTTCAAAAAAAAAATATAACACAAGGTATGATGTCCTGGCAATTAGACTTTTACAGAAGAATGAAGGCTGGTACATGTACATGGAATGAGAGTTAGATCACCATTTTAAAAAATCAATGAAATAATTTATTTGGTCAGTGATGGGCAATGTGACAAAGTATCACCCTACAGTTTTCTTGTTAATTTCCAAGGGGAAAATGGACAATTGGAATGGAGAGCTATGGAGCCTTTTACCCTAACCAAGTTAAAATAGCGTCACTGAGAGGGTGGCAAGCTGGCATTTGTGCCTCCTGATGAGATGGAATAGGAGGTGACCAGTAATTCTACAAAGTACTCCCACCACCATGTTCAACTCAACCTAATTAAGCCTGTTGACTTAATTTCCAGTTTAAAAAAAAGTACAGGGGATGGAAGAGTAAAAGAAATATTCAGACAATTTAAGAATATGGGACGGTATACAGAGCAAAACCTCAAGAAAAACGAGAAAGTCAAACAGAGAAAGACAAATATTGTATGTTATCACTTATATGTGGAATCTAAAATATAAAACAAACTAGTGAATATAACAAAAAAGAAACAGACTCACAGTTACAGAAAACAATTTAGTGGTTACCAGTGGGGAGAGGGAAGGTGAGGAGAGGCAAGATAGGGGTAGGGGATTAAGAGGTACAAACTACTATGTATAAAATAAACAAGCCACAAGGATATATTGTACAGCACTGGGAATATAGTCAATATAATAACTTACAGTTTTCTTGTTAATTTCCAAGGGGAAAATGGACAATTGGAATGGAGAGCTATGGAGCCTTTTACCCTAACCAAGTTAAAATAGCGTCACTGAGAGGGTGGCAAGCTGGCATTTGTGCCTCCTGATGAGATGGAATAGGAGGTGACCAGTAATTCTACAAAGTACTCCCACCACCATGTTCAACTCAACCTAATTAAGCCTGTTGACTTAATTTCCAGTTTAAAAAAAAGTACAGGGGATGGAAGAG